CTTTTTAGATCCTCTAGAAAGGCACCTTAGATAGCACCCAATTCATTAAATTTTATTGCACATTTTCAATCGATATTCTGTATTTCTTATTGTTCATTATATATATTGAGTATTTAGAGAAGTTTTAACAACGTAGGAATTTAAATTGTATTCAATATTAAATATAAATAGGATTAATTGTAACAAGTTCTTAGCATAAAATGTAATTATGGTAAATATATATCATAAATTTAAATTGTAGTAGATTTTTAGCACGAAATTTCAGTTATAATAGATTTTTCGGAGAATTTAAATAGAAAACGTAATTCTAATGAATTTTCATTATAACTTTAAATTGTGGCAGATCCTTCATGGAAATTTAAATTGTGTAATTTTAAATGCATAAGTGAAGATACTCGTAATACATAATTTTCATATAATTTCGCATCGTCATCAAAATTCTGCGAATAACGACCAACGAAATTGAGTAAAAAGTCTGCGAATTTCTTGTTAAATTAACGAATAAAAAGCGGATCTTTGTGCATAGTTCCTTGCTGAATTTTTTACGATGATTAAAATCAGAGAACTCATTTCTTTCATCGACTATCAGATTCCGCACGATGGAGAATAAAATTCAAATGTTATTGAATTTCATCGAATGACACAGAATTTCTCCGTACTTTGGAAATTCGCGCGCTCGATGAGCGCGCGCGGACACGCGATTATTTATCAATAAAATTCTCAATCGTTAGAAAACCGTTTAGGCCGAGCCGTGTGCATTATAAATTGCACCGGGATTGTTACGCGAAGCAGGAAGGATTATGCATTCCGCATATCATTAATTAAAGAATCACGAAACGATACGTGCTCGGATGGCAAAGACACACGCGGTATATACATACGTTTCGCGCGCAGTACCGAATGGATTTTCATGAAATTTTACGATGAAAATTCATGGGGTGGTTGATTTTCTACGTGTCTCGGTACCGGTATATTACGGCATGGCGTAGTTCGCACGACGCGAGGAACGCGCGGCGCGGCGCGGCGTCGCGACTCAAAAAGATTAAAGAAGAACCGCGACTTTTTCGCCCCTTTTGTAAATCGGGATCCCGAGAATGCGCTTTAAAATTCAAATTTCCGGGAACTCGGTCAGGGGGCAGGGGTTACGCGTATCGACGATAACAAATGATCGCTCTGTTCGACAAGGTCGAACGATCTCCGAATGCTTGAAGATTTTCCCGGAATCGTGTGTGTGTCGCGGAAGTAGAAATTACATTGAAATATACCGGACGATGTTAAGAAGAAAATCAAAATCCTGTTGAAGCTTCTGAAAAGAGATTTACATGGCTGTGTACCGTGCATACATTTGCATCTACGATAAGCGCGGTGTATTCATGAGAGTTCATTTTCCAGCTACCAACATCGCATTATTGCGCATAATTTAAATTATAACAAGAACGTACAAATATTTCCACGGGACGACGAATTTCAAAAACAACGGACATTTCACGATTCTTCGCACAGTCGTTCTAACTTTGCGATTTCGAAAGCATGGCATCGTCGTGCCCGCCATCTTGGTTACACGCGTTTAGCTCTAATTCTGCAATTTTCTTTGTAATTCTCTCTTCTTCTCTGTAATTCTACTCTTCTTTTTCTTTTTTTTTTCGAGGACAAGGTACAGCAAATTTTCCCTAATCGACGCTCAGATTGCACAAAATAATAAACAATTCGGCGAAAGGAGATACGATTATTCCAGCCACGCGGCTCTTTTCAATAATTGTTGATAATCGGCGACTATAAAAATCTCCTCTTATATCCTCTTACATCCGTATCTCCTCTTCCCAAATTCTCCGTTCTTGTGCACAATCTGAGCGTCAATTAGGGCGATGAAATGTAACGCGAATTACAAAGGCCTTGGATTTTCCAAAAAGCCGAAAATACTTCGAACCGATATTTCTGAACATTTTTAAACTATTTCCCCAACAATGACTGCTCTGCAGCTTGGTTCCGGTATTAAACTCGACGGCTGGAATCGCAGCCGGTATTATCCTGCTGCATCGTGTCGCTAATAGCGCGACGCGAAGCGAGCACGCGTGCGTTTAGCGCGTCGTCTGCGAAGGCTCGTCGACGACGTTTTAAATAGGAGCCGCCGGTAATGGATAGAAGGAACTGGATAGGAAGGGAGAGCTCCCGCAGGATAGCTTCCTAGGAATTGCGTCTATTTATTGATCGTCCGCTGCACTGGAATATTCAGCCGAACCTTGGCCTCCATCCACCTCTTCCGCCTACCTTTCCATGATCCTCGTCTTTGGCTACGATTGCCTCCATTTTCCCAATGACGGCGCGGCTTTGATAATGTAAGGGATGGAGACAGATAGCCGAGAGACGGAAGCGCCGCGCGGATGAACCAGACTGTTCCACGGGACGGAACGGAACCGTCCGATCGTCCCGAAAATCGTCGGGAATTTTTCAATCGTCGCACGAATCCGTATTTCGGAAATCTCGTAGTTCGCGCGTTACGCGAACAGCCGTTTCAAAATTTCGAAATTATCCACGCTTTGCCCGGCGCGAAGCTTCCGCGCGGTTCCCCGTGAAAACATCATCGTGTGTCGGCATTTTAAAATGCCTACCAGGAAACTGCAACGAAAGAGAAAGAGAGAGAAAGAGAGAGAGAAAGAGAAAGAGAGAGAAAGAGNGTAGTTCGCGCGTTACGCGAACAGCCGTTTCAAAATTTCGAAATTATCCACGCTTTGCCCGGCGCGAAGCTTCCGCGCGGTTCCCCGTGAAAACATCATCGTGTGTCGGCATTTTAAAATGCCTACCAGGAAACTGCAACGAAAGAGAAAGAGAGAGAAAGAGAGAGAGAAAGAGAAAGAGAGAGAAAGAGAGACGTTTACAATTTCAGGCAATCCCGCGAGAAGTTCCTTCAATTCTGCAAATTTCAAAAAGTCTCTTTCGCAATTAAAAGCCAAGAGAGGCTGCCGACAACTGTTTTATAACGCACCGGATTGCTGTTTCGGTTTGATGCTCGTTATAGAAGCATTTGTTTTTTAGGACATTTACCTTCCGTCGCTCGACGTCCGCCATTTTGGTGTCGCGATAAACGTCCATGTTCTTTTTTACAGCAAGACAGAAATAACAAGAAATATCAAACTATATCAAACATCGCATAAAACAGTTATCAGAATATAAAAATTCAATTAGCTATTGAAAGTAGAAAAAGTAAAAAATCTAATTCGCTGCAAATTCGACGTCGGTCACGCAGAAGTTATTATTAGATCGTGGTTTTGGTGTGAAATAAAAATTGTCCAAGACGATTGCAAGAAACAGAAGTTAAACAAATACAAATTGTTAATTTCAATAATCTTGATAAGTTAATTATGGCGTAATAATATGATTAAATTCTTCTACAATAGTTTCTTCGCGATTTTCTGATTCAGTTAATCATTTCTGCCATAAATTCGTAAAATCCGCGGTCTATCTATTATATTACACTGCACAGCGATCTAACGCAATCATAATTCCGCAAGAGAATTGATTGCAAACGCATAGAGCCTAAGTCAACGAAGAAAAGACCGTCCTTTTGCATCGAGCGTCGCTCGGATATTTGAAAGAATTAGCGGCGCGGAACAGTTTTCCGGGCGGTTTCGTTTCGATCCGTTGCATTCGAATGATTCATTAGTGTTTCCCGCACGGCGTCGTTGTTGTAAATGGCGGACGGGAATTAATTTAGCCGTAGGAGCGATTCCACGGCGAAGAAAATCGAAGGGAGCGGGTCCGATACAGGGATCCGCGCGCGGCGGCAGAGAAAAGTGAAGCTCTCTCTCCCGGCGCGGTGCTATTAGCTCTTAAGCTAAGCCGGAAATTCCAGACCGGAAGCTGGCAGTCGCAGCTCGGCGAAAAAACTCGGCCGAGGAGAGCGTAGAAGATGGAAGGCGGGCTGCACGAGGAGAGAAAAGGATTTATAGGGATCCGGCCGGTGAATACGGTCCCACGTGGCCCGCATGGCGATAGTTTGTTTTACGTCTTCTATGAACTTCCCGCCAGGAGGATTCAATTAAACCTAATGTTCATTATTGGCGATCCGGAAATCGCCTCCTTTCCTTATCGTTAATTACAATCGGACATCTCTTNCCGAACCTTGGCCTCCATCCACCTCTTCCGCCTACCTTTCCATGATCCTCGTCTTTGGCTACGATTGCCTCCATTTTCCCAATGACGGCGCGGCTTTGATAATGTAAGGGATGGAGACAGATAGCCGAGAGACGGAAGCGCCGCGCGGATGAACCAGACTGTTCCACGGGACGGAACGGAACCGTCCGATCGTCCCGAAAATCGTCGGGAATTTTTCAATCGTCGCACGAATCCGTATTTCGGAAATCTCGTAGTTCGCGCGTTACGCGAACAGCCGTTTCAAAATTTCGAAATTATCCACGCTTTGCCCGGCGCGAAGCTTCCGCGCGGTTCCCCGTGAAAACATCATCGTGTGTCGGCATTTTAAAATGCCTACCAGGAAACTGCAACGAAAGAGAAAGAGAGAGAAAGAGAGAGAGAAAGAGAAAGAGAGAGAAAGAGAGACGTTTACAATTTCAGGCAATCCCGCGAGAAGTTCCTTCAATTCTGCAAATTTCAAAAAGTCTCTTTCGCAATTAAAAGCCAAGAGAGGCTGCCGACAACTGTTTTATAACGCACCGGATTGCTGTTTCGGTTTGATGCTCGTTATAGAAGCATTTGTTTTTTAGGACATTTACCTTCCGTCGCTCGACGTCCGCCATTTTGGTGTCGCGATAAACGTCCATGTTCTTTTTTACAGCAAGACAGAAATAACAAGAAATATCAAACTATATCAAACATCGCATAAAACAGTTATCAGAATATAAAAATTCAATTAGCTATTGAAAGTAGAAAAAGTAAAAAATCTAATTCGCTGCAAATTCGACGTCGGTCACGCAGAAGTTATTATTAGATCGTGGTTTTGGTGTGAAATAAAAATTGTCCAAGACGATTGCAAGAAACAGAAGTTAAACAAATACAAATTGTTAATTTCAATAATCTTGATAAGTTAATTATGGCGTAATAATATGATTAAATTCTTCTACAATAGTTTCTTCGCGATTTTCTGATTCAGTTAATCATTTCTGCCATAAATTCGTAAAATCCGCGGTCTATCTATTATATTACACTGCACAGCGATCTAACGCAATCATAATTCCGCAAGAGAATTGATTGCAAACGCATAGAGCCTAAGTCAACGAAGAAAAGACCGTCCTTTTGCATCGAGCGTCGCTCGGATATTTGAAAGAATTAGCGGCGCGGAACAGTTTTCCGGGCGGTTTCGTTTCGATCCGTTGCATTCGAATGATTCATTAGTGTTTCCCGCACGGCGTCGTTGTTGTAAATGGCGGACGGGAATTAATTTAGCCGTAGGAGCGATTCCACGGCGAAGAAAATCGAAGGGAGCGGGTCCGATACAGGGATCCGCGCGCGGCGGCAGAGAAAAGTGAAGCTCTCTCTCCCGGCGCGGTGCTATTAGCTCTTAAGCTAAGCCGGAAATTCCAGACCGGAAGCTGGCAGTCGCAGCTCGGCGAAAAAACTCGGCCGAGGAGAGCGTAGAAGATGGAAGGCGGGCTGCACGAGGAGAGAAAAGGATTTATAGGGATCCGGCCGGTGAATACGGTCCCACGTGGCCCGCATGGCGATAGTTTGTTTTACGTCTTCTATGAACTTCCCGCCAGGAGGATTCAATTAAACCTAATGTTCATTATTGGCGATCCGGAAATCGCCTCCTTTCCTTATCGTTAATTACAATCGGACATCTCTTATCCCGCCGCCGGGAATTTCGAGCGACCCCGTGGAATCCACCGCCGGAATCGGCGATCGTTCATAAAACGCTCCGAATTAAATCTACGCTTCCGAAAGTTGCGAAAGTGTCTCGTTCCGTGAAATTGCTTGTTCCGATTTCCCCCAGAATTTTACGGACGCCGACGCCATTTTTCATCCCGCCGCGGCGGCGGCGGCGCCAGTTCTTTTTTCCCCCGGCGGATTTCGGTTTCTCGGTCTGACGAGGGCTTTTTGGCAACAATTTCTGCGGACTGTGGCACGTTTTCGAAGCTCCTTCGCGAAGAGGCGAATCGCTATCGTTCTTAATCGATGTTGCCGTCCGCCATTCGCATTTGCCAGTTTATCCGACATTGTTCCGATTTTGGAATCAAAGCCACCGACAGCGACGCGAACGTTCCTCGCGAAGACCATCATCCCAAAAACTTCAACTTTTACCAATCAAGTCGACAACGCGATCGGACCATTTAGGTGTTCGATCGAACGTTCGTTCAATCACTTATAGGTTTTTGCGCACTTTGTTCACGAGAAAATCCGTGAAAGACGTCCTTCGTCCTTCGATCGGTCCCGCGTCCAATCCATCCGCGGGTTCTGCTCTCGCTCAAAGAGGCCTAGCCGGTGGCCGGACCTCCCCTAAACACGCCTAAGCGAAGACAAATCCCGTTTGCGGGCTGTTTCGATCTTTTTGCCGGATCTCCGATTGATCCGGGCATTCTTTTCCCGGGCGGTGATTACGGCTTTGATAGGATCCGGGGCCGCGTTGTCAGATGACGCCCGGCGATCCAGTTCGTGGCGGTCGCCGGGCGTTTCGGTGGCTCTCTCCTCGGTCAAGGGTCTGCGGAGTTGCCTGGTCACAAAGTGATCCAACGGATTAAGATACTCAATTTCCAGGTTCCTCGACACCTCCGGACCGTTCAGCGCCGGCTCGCTCTCTTTGACGAAGTCAAAGAGACCGGTCGTGCCGGGGCCGAGGCTGCTCCTCGAGTCCAGCAGATGCAGCTGCATCGAGTTCAGCACCACCTCGCCGGGCGGGTACCTGGGCCCATAATGGTCCAGCAGGCACTCCTCGAAAGCTTTGTGCCTGTACCAGCTGTAGGTGCAACCGATTCCCACCAACGGCAGTGCAGCGTCGGTTTCGACGAACGCGAACGAGTGCTTCGTCTCCAATGCCAAGGACGAACCCTTCTTCTTCGCGCTTGTCGTGGACCAAATCCGCGACAACGCTGCCGGCGTCGACGACACGCTCTTCAAGGTCGTTACCAGCATCTCCGAGTCCGATTTCGAATCGAACGACGACCGATTCCTCGAGTAGTGCTCCAACAGCTTCGGCGACAGATCTTTCGCCGCCTGTTCGTCGCTCGCGTAGTAGTGGAAGATGGTGAACAGTTTCGTGGGGTCCGTCTGCGGAGGATTTTAGGGATGTCAGTTTGACAGGAGATGGACAGGATGAGCCTGTCTTATTATTCGTTTCTGTTGCGGTTAGAAATCCGCGATATACGCGTGTAATTCGCGACATCTTATGGACGTACAGCGTTTCTTACGGTTAGTCTAAAGGTTTATGTACAGGATGTCCAAAAATTATGGTATTTCTGAGAAATTAGAGGTTCCTGAGGTCATTTGAAGTAATTTTTTCCTTAGCGGAAATAAAATCCGCGGCTTCGTTCACGAGTTGTTGACGAAAAACTTTAACCAATAAGAGGCGAGCAAAATGTATATTTCAAATAAGTAGACATCTTATTAAATTCAAAGTACATTTTACAACGAAGCGTATAACGTATAGTTTATATTGCAAAATTATAGTATTTAGTGCATAAGAGAATTAAAAAAGAAAATAATGAAAGTATAAAAGAGAAGGAATAAGAAAAGATGAAAAAGGTCGCAGAAATGAAAATAAAATAGAAATAAAAGATTTCGGAAAAATAAAATTGATACATGTTGACACGAATGTATCTTACGTTAAAAAGATTTGACTGCAAGTAAATCGAAGTTACAGGCGTGACCGAGTAATTAAAAAAAGAAAATGGTAAGTTATAACCTCTCCTTAAAAGCAGATATTACCAGATTTAAAAGAGTCTCGCGCACGAGATCGGCGTGTAAGGAGACAAACCGCTGGGCCCCTAATTACGTACGATTAGCATGTACAGCTGGACGATGAGGGGAAGCATCAGAATTAAGGAGCACATTACGGCGTAGACGGTCTCCATGACGGACGCGGCGAATGTTCGCGGTGTTTTTCACTGGTTGGCCGGAATTTTCTGCCGTTCATAGGGCCGGGATGTCCTCATCGTTTCGCGAATCCCACCGTCGACGGAACACATGGTAAACTCTCATTCGGAAACCCGACGAGCGTCGGGCGCCATCGGACACCGCCACGAGGTGTAATCGATTTTTACAACTTGACGTCGCGAGATATAAAAAAAAAGGAAAAAAAAGAATCCTGTCATTTGTTTACGGGGGACAGTCGTTTGGAGCGTGATCATGACAGAACGGGACAACGGCCCCGCGACCATTTTATAACCTGAAACGCGCGCGCGAATGGTACACGTCAACGGATTTCAATCGACGGTGGAAAAAGCAACAATCGAGTGGACGCGAGGGGGGGGGGGGGGGGGAAAAAATAGTTATTCTTGAAATCTCCGTTGCGCGGCGCCGACCGTGATTAGCCGCGATGTTCTCGCGATATTACAGCGGGGATTGCGATCAGTTTTGCGGCGGGCCGAGCGCAAAATGAAAATTCCATTGTCGTCGTTGCTGCGCGTAAAAGAGTAAACCGTGCTTCCGGTTCAGCGCAGATCGTGTCCCATTCGCCGCATTTTAATATCCCTTTGAGGAATTAAAATCGCCGCGGACGCCTGATTTTATTTGTTAAGGAAGTCGAATATGAAAGCCGTTGCGCGGCTCCACCGGAATAATGTTGCTAAATCCGCGGGAAACATTATTAAAAATGGTTTTCCGCCATCCGGCCGGCGAATGCGTGCGCGATGTTATTGAACGAACGTACATTCAAAAACGATGGTCGGCTACGCACGGAAAAAGCGAACGCATCGTGTTTCAGACAGAGATTTCATCTTTCACAGACATAAGTTTATCCCTCCGTACTCTTGATCAACAATTTTTGAAACCACAGCGGCTAAATTGAAACCGCCGCGTTAAACGGAACGTGAAAAATTGTCGTCCGAATAATTCACTGAATTAATTATTATAACACTTCGAGCAAGAGAACCAGCATATAAGATAAAAAGAGGAGAAATCTAGGTAGACATAAAATATTTGTTACATAAATTACTCTAAAGTATAACCAAAGCAATAACAATCCCAAAGAGAATTGCTGGATAACAATCTAGATTTCAGATCTTCGATACAAAATCTTTCCGTCATTCGTTTAAATTCTTTAAAAAGCTCTCAGTCTGTTTGCTGTCGCTGAAATATTGCTTATCTTTAATTTTATAAAAGTCTAACCAAAATTTGCGGGTCTTCGACGGACCGTGGACCAGAGCCAGCACAATTCAGTTCGTCGAGTTCTAAATATTTCTTGAGGCGCGTCTCGCTCTCCGAACACGTATTTACGCGCGCGCGCGCGGTCAGGGGCCATTTTCGTCGAAGAGTCGGTTGCGAATGGCGCGAATGGCCATGTATCAAGACCTCGAAAAACCGCGCGCAGCGTTTAGCCCAGCGTCGTCGTCGTCGGCGGCATTCGCGGCGGAGGTTCGGCAAAGAGGCGCGTCGTCGTGAAAGCCGGCACCGGAAACAGCAATGACCCGTAGAAAGGCGACGAGACATTCGTACGGCAATCAGGCTGAAGCACGGGGAACCATTCAAGTTGTGGGCTTTCATCGTCGCCTTACAAGTTCCTCCACTTTTCGCCCTCCAACTCCAGCGCCTTTCCGCTGTCTGTCCTCTCCTGTTCCTCTTTTCCCCCCCGCCGCGGCCACCGTTTCGTTTTCCCGGCACCCGCACATCGCCACCCGCGACACCCACCTCTTTACCGGCGGGTGTCCCCCACCTCCCCGCCCCCTCTTCCGGGCAGGGTCTTCTTCCAGCCCTCTTTGAGTCGTACCGAACTGTATATAAAGTGGCGCTACTAAATTGGAAACCGCAGCTTTGCCGATGCTATTGCCACCCCTTCTTTTTATCCCCCGCCAGTTTCTTTCCTCCCCATTGAGCCGTGTCCCTACTCGACCGAGCACTGGCCACGGCCAGGACCGGGGATCGTTGTTAGAGTTGACATTGGGGCCAGGATTTATTGGCCGGCCCGTTTTCGAATCCCCTCGGATACCCGGGGCTCGCCACTGGAAAATTCGTCTGTCCTGCCGCTTTGATAACTCTTCTCCCTCCCCCCTGCTGCCCCCTCGAGAACCCTCTTCCAGACGAGACGCTATTTTCGAATCCTCCGCGATCGTGCTCCCGAAAATGCTGCGCTTCTCTTCGACGAGTCTTTCAAATTCTTGTATTTTTCGTTTGGCCGGCAGAGGGGTGAGCGGGGGCGGTTGTGTGACGCTTTGATTTTAGAACACGATTGCGCGCGAATTATCGTATTTGGTACGATGATTGTTGTACGAACCTCTTGCCTACTCGTCTGAGATTATTCAGTCGCAGTGGTTTTTTATAAAATGCAAGTTGTTGATAAAAATGTGAGAAGCGGGTTAAGTGTTGTAATCGTCCCTCTGCTTATTAACGGAAAGCAATTAACAGTGTTATTTTGAGACAAATGAAATTAGAGATTTAAAATAAGAAGGCGATTTAGAATAATTTTAATGCAGTAAGGAAAGTTAATTTGTTGGTACCGAAAAGTTATTTTCTTCCTTTTCTTCCCTGTCCCTCAGTATTATAGACGAATGTCGGGTCTATTTGGACCCAGAGTATGAACATTACGATTTGACTATCTAGTTTCTGATAACTAAGTTTCACTGTCACAGGTCTTATTCAGATTTACAGTAAATTCTCTCCAATTGTCTTTCAGCTTGTGATAAAAAATGGACATTTGATTCGGAAACGGAAATTTGATTCTTCGAGCCTCGCTGCTTGATTTCATAGTTATATATATGGTTATATAGTTATAGTAGTATATTAGTAGTATAGTAATATATTATAGTTATAGTACATCTATAAAAACGAAGCGCAAGGCTCGAAACTGTCAACTTTCGTGAACAAATTGAAGATCAATTGAGGAGAATTTACCGCATAGAAAAACTAACGTGTCTAGAAGAACTTAAACTTGAATAAACTTGACAAATAAAAATTGACAAAACTTGACATAACGTTGACAAAAAAAATTATAAATGACCCTAAGCACACGCGGTTACACAGTTTCATCAAAAAGATCCGCCGCGCGCGAGCGTTAATTACCGAGCGTTATCACGAAACGTAGGTCGACCGATTTTCTACGAACTAATCAGAGTACTCGAATAAGACATTAATTTCCGATAAACCCGAAAAGTATTCGCGCGAATTTGATCGGCGACAGGAGCACCGCGTCGACCAGCGTCGTCCTCACGGAATTAAATTGGCCAGGAAGGTAACGACACGAGGCAGTAATACCGGGGGCACAATATTAATTGCGGGAATATTTACCGCGGTAAACACGCGGAGCCATTTGTTCATGAAATTTGTGAACGATGCGGGACGGACGGGGGTAGGGGGTTGGTGTATAATTAAACGGCTGCGAATCAAGGCGCGCGCGCGCACACACGCGCCGATCGAGTTCTTTGCCCCGGCGAGGAGATCGGTGCACAAATTAATTGGCCTTTTAAATCGAATCTCGTTCCCAGTCTGTGGCCCGAATGATTTCCAAGCCACGGCAAGAAAGGGCCGCGGCGGGCTAAATCTCACGATATTCCACCTAAATTGGCAAGGTAATTCCTTATCGGACATTCCTAAACGATGGTAATCGACGTTTGCGGAACAGTCTTAATTAATTCCGGGTGAATCGGTCCCCACATATATTAAATCCGCCGGCCTGATATCCATCTATACTCGTTCGTGGTAGGAATTGACGTTCTGGTTATACCGAGGGGGAGCGGGGGGAGGGGGGCGGGGGTCCCTCGATCTCTTCTCGTTCCACCGTTCCATTCCGGAGTTTCGGGATCGGGATCCGGAGTTTCCGAAACTCGGTGCTTAACGTTTCGTGAAAATTGTTATGGCGTCGTGGACCACCGCTAACAGATTGCCAAGGTGCTACTACTTTTAACCGTTCGCGCTCGAACGGCCGCCCGGAGGCGACGATACAAATTTTTACATCGCGTTCGAAAACAATTTTTACACGTTGCCGAATCTCCGTGTTTTTTTTTAGAACCGTTGAAAACGCAAGCGATCGGTACCTTGACCAGATACAGTTGTTTTCAGAGCACCTTTATCAGAGAGCTCTGAAAAAGTTATTTACAAGTTATTTGTTCGGTATATGTGCAGTGAACATTATAACAACGCTCGTTGAAAATCAGTATAAACGTCTTATTGTTATATTTAGAAACTGATGTAAAACAGCTGCTTTTAGTGCTCGGCGAATCTAGCGTTATATATATAGTTCACGAAATTGAAGCTAATAGGTTCACGAATTTATTACAGGGTTTATTAGTTGATGACGCTCGAGCTCGAGCATTCGATGCATTCGACCTTTTCAGACATATTTTAATAATTAACTAAATTATTCGTTTCACTGCAGTCGTTTCGCTTTCGGCTTAGGATCGATTTCTAAAAGATGATTGTCCTCTGAATGCGCACACCGTAATCGTCGTTTACATGTTTGCGCTTACGCAATTTCTCCATATTTTCATCGAATGCAACGCTTCTATAAAATAATTAATTTAATAAAGAACGTAGAAATATAATCGTCGTGGCACAAAATACTGCAACTTCTCCATGACGAGTATACTCGTCGAACACAGCTACAGTAATGTCTCCCTAACTGACGCTCAGATTGTGCAGAAAAATGGACAATTTGGGAAGAGGAAATATGATTTTATAGTCGTTGACAATTCGTAACTATAAAAATGAACCACAGAGAAATAAATTCTCCATTTTTATGGACAATCTGAGCGTCAATTAGAGAGACATTACAGTACAGTAATGTCTCCCCAATTGACGCCGAAAAAAGGGGAGATACGATTTTATAGTAGTTGACAATTCGTAACTATAAAAATAAACCACAGAGAAATAAATTCTCTTCTCATTACTGTTCAGTAATGTCTCCCTAATTAACGCCGAAATTGTGCCCAAAAATGGACAATTTGGGAAGTGCAGATACGATCGTTCGAGTCTCGCTACTCGTTTTTACAGTCGTTGACAATCGATAACCACAAAAATACGAGCCACAAGGCTCGAACAATCGTATCTCCTCTTCCAAAATTCTCCATTTTCGTGGTCAATCTGAGCGTCGATTAGAAAGACATTGCTGTAATTGGTATCTCTCGACGATATCTCGGAAGCGAAAACAACTGACTTGCGGCGTCCTTGCTCGCGGCCACGAA